GGGGTCGCCAGCCGACACTGTCTGGCTGACGGCACCCTGATGAGGGCCTCTCTGTGGGAGCGTATCGGCCGGTGGGAGGCAATCTGTGGCAGAAGGCGGTCTCGGATGTAACCAGGTCCAATGCCACGGCGCGCTTTAAAGATGATAATCAACACCTTGAAGCGCACTCGGAAGGCCACAGGCAGCCAGTGTATTGCAAGCTAAACTCTGCCTGCTGCCAGCAGTTCGAGTCGCCAATCTCACCGGCTCGAGGTTGACTCAGCCTTCCATCCTTCTGAGGTCAGTAAAATGAGGATCCAGATTGTTGGGGGGCAAACAGGCTGACTCTGTAAACCGCTCAGAGAAAGCTGTAAAGCACTGTGAAGCGGCATATAAGTCTAAGTGCTGTTGCTATTGCTGTTTTACTTATTTTAGTAGAAGACTGTGGCATTTATTTATGTAACCATGAGAGTAGAGTAGAGTAGAATAGAATAGAATAGAATAGAATAGAATAGAATAGAATAGAATAGAATAATAGAAGCATTTGAAATGTGGATTTACAGGCGGCTGTTATGTAGAAGTTGGGTTGACAAGATCAGAAATGAGGTGGTGATCAGCCGCCTGGGAAAGCCAAGGGAAATCATCAAAACAATTAAAAAACAAAAATTAGAATATTTCAGACGTGTGATGCGAAACCCAGAAAAATATGGCATACTCCATTTAATCCTCCAGGGAAAGATTGAAGGCAAACGAGGTCTAGGCAGAATAGAATAGAATAGAATAGAATAGAATAGAAACACTGTTTTAACTGATGTGGTTAAGCATCTGGTGTGAACATGGGTCGTCCACAGAGGGGTCAAGATGGGGAAAATTTCTGCACCCAGAAAGACGTAGGAAGGGAAGACAGGACTGCTGCTGTCTTCTGGGTTCTGGATCATGAGGCTAGTGCAGGGGTCTTCAAACTTGGCCCTTTTATGACTTGTGGACTTCAACTCCCAGAATTCCTCAGCCAGGCAAGCGTGCCTGGCTGAGGAATTCTGGGAGTTGAAGTCCACAAGTCATAAAAGGGCCAAGTTTGAAGACCCCTGATTTAACAGGACTTCTTGGCATCTTTTTGTAAATGTCTCTCTGCTTCTCCTTTTCTAGCTAAAAGATCCATTTCAAAACCCATCAGCACTTTCAGGATTCCAGAAATCCACTTCCCACTGATGGGTCAGTGTGTCCAGACCTATTACGTCGATTTTACTAACCATCTGAGCAGAGCGATCGCGATTTTGTCACCGGAGAACTCTGCGCTCCTAGCGAGGTATTTCTACCTTCGGGGACTTATAAGTCTGATGCAAAAAAAATTCCTAAGTGCCCTTTCGGACTTCCAAAATCTGTACAAGACAGACATCAGGATATTCCCGACGGAGCTTGTGAGAAAATTGATAGAAAACCTCCCACCCCTGGATCGCTCCCAGGCAGATCAGAAGCCCGAACTGAAGAGATTGATCAGTTACCTAATGGACAAACAAAGAGAGGTCATCAAAACCGATGATCACGTGAAGAAATTTGAGTTGCCCAAAACTCACATGCAGGTGGAGGACTTTGTAAAGCGCATCCAGGAATCTGGGATTGTCAAAGATACTGACACCATCCATCGGTTGTTTGATGCATTAACCGTAGGTAAGGGGGTGGGGGGGGGCGGGGGGAGGAAAATTTACTCCCTTGTTTGAATTCTAACCTTTGTTAGAATTTTTCAAGCTCTTGTGTTTTCCTATCATGAATATATATCTTGAATGGAAGGGAAGGGAAGGGAAAAGAGAATAGAATAGAATGATAGGATAGGATACAATAGAATAGAATAGAATACAATACAATACAATACAATACAATACAATACAATACAAATAATGATCACAATAGAACAGAATAGAATAGAATAATGAGAATAGAATAGAATAGAATAGAATAATGGTAAGAATAGAATAGAATAGTGATAAGAATAAAACAGAACAGAATAGAATAATGATAAGAATAGAATAGAATAGAATAATGATAAGAATAGAATAGAATACAATACAATACAATACAATACAATACAAATAATGATAACGGAACAGAACAGAATAGAATAATGAGAATAGAATAGAAAAGAATAGAATAGAATAATGATCAGAATAGAATAGAATAGAATAGAATAATGATAAGAATAGAACAGAACAGAATAGAATAATGATAAGAATAGAATAGGATAGAATACAATAGAATAGAATACAAATAATGATAAGAATAGAACAGAACAGAATAAAATAGAATAGGACAGTGGTGGTGAACCTATGGCACGGGTGCCAGAGGCGGCACTCAGAGCCCTCTTTGTGGGCACGCGCCCGTCGGCCCAGTCCTAGGCCTTCAGCTGGGTTTTATAAAACCTTTTCGCTTTAGGCTTCCGCCGCCGTGTGCAAAAAAAAGAGGTTCAATCAATCAATCAGTCAATTTCAATTTTTCGCAGGAAAAAAAAAGATCTTGCAAAGTTGGAATTGATTGATTGAACTTTTTAGTCCCATCCAGTCTGCAGTTACCACCGCAGCCACGCCCACCATATGGGCCACGCCCACCCAATGGGCCACACCCACCCGGCACCCGACAATGCATAAGTGGGTTTTGGGTTGCAGTTTGGGCACTCGGTCTCTAAAAGGTTCGCCATCACTGGAATAGAATAATGAGAATAGAATAGAATAGAATAATGATAAGAATAGAATAGAATAGAACAGAATAATGATAAGAATAGAATAGAATAGGAATAATGATAAGAATAGAATTGAATAGAATAGAATAGAATAGAATAGAATAGAATAATGATAAGAATAGAATAATGATAATAGAATAGAATAGAATAATGATAAGAACAGAACAGAACAGAATAGACTAGACTAGAATAGAATAGAATAGAACAGAACAGAATAATGATAAGAATAGAATAGAATAATGATAAGAATAGAATAATGATAATAGAATAGAATAATGATAAGAACAGAACAGAATAGAATAGAATAATGATAAGAATAGAATAGAATAGAATAGAATAGAATAATGATAAGAATATTATATTCTGTTCTGTTCTGTTCTATTCTGTTCTTTCACAAAACCTCCTTCATTTCCCTCGGGTGCCAAACTGTCTTCACAATCGCATGCTATAAACTGGGGCAGATGGAACGTGAGCATCGCTCAAGAAATGTGGGTGGATGAGTAAAGGTAGGAAAGGAGAAATCAAGGGGCAAAAGTACAATGACTCTTACTGCCTCCTCCACCCAGTTTTCTGGAACTACGAATTTATTACTGCTATTAAGTCAATCTCAACATTCTGGTTGAAGAGGCCAGCTGGTGGAAAGTTAATTGCATTAGATGGGCAGCTATAGAAATGGAATGAATGACTCAATCAATCAATCAATCGCCCTTTTTTGAGTACAGGTAGTCCTCGACTTTTATGACGAGTCATTTAGTGACCGCTTGAATTTACAACGCACCTTCAGAAGGGGACTTACGACTTAGAGTCAAATTTCTGGTGTCCGGGCCTCTTCCGTGTGGTCATGTGACCACATTTTGGCTGCTCGGCCACCAGGCCTCATTTACAGCCATTTGCAGCGCCTTGCAATCAGGCGACTGTGATTTGTGATGTTTTTCCCCCCAGAAACCGGCGTTTACTTCCAGCAAAAAAGCATCCCATGGCGAACAATGGGTCCGCTTTACAACCGCCACAAAAAAAGTTTGTAAAATCAGCCACGGTCACGTGGTAACCCACTTTTATGACCGTCAAAAACTGATGACCAAATTTAAGTCAAGACTACCTGTAATACAGTATCTTGAAGGTAGAATAGAATGGAATGGAATGGAATAGAGTAGAATAGTGGAGTAGAATGAATAGAATAGAATAGAATAGAATAGAATAGAATAGAATAGAATAGAATAGAATAGAAAAAGGAATGGAATGGAATGGAATGGAATAGAGCTGGAAGGGACCTTGGAGGTCTTCTAGTCCAGCCCCCTGCTCAAGCAGGAGAACCTATACCTTAAAATTATACTGGGCTGCTGACACTTTCCCCCTCTTTGCAGCATTTGACGTACAGGGAAATCTAGAAATGTTCATTACGGTAAATAAACATTTTGTTCATTTTTAAGGGCAGCAAAAACAAATTGACCCGGAAACATTTAAAGACTTTTATACCTACTGGAAAGAAACAGAAGCAGAAGCCCAAGATGTGAACCTACCTCCACGAGTAATAGAACACCTGGACAAAAACGAGTGTGTTTATAAGTTATCCAACTCGGTAAAAACTAATAAAGGAGTTGGGAAAATCGCACTGACACCGAAGCGCCTGTTCCTGTTGACGGAAGGAGCCTATCCCAGCTATCAAGACATCGCAGCGTTCAGAGATATAGAGGTGAGCCTCCCCCAAAAGTACACACTTAACAACAGTTCTTTCAGTGACTGTTCAAAGTTACAAGGACACTGAAAAAAGTGATTTATGACCGGTTTTCACACTTACAGTAGTGGCCAAAATTGTGGAAACCTTTTGGGAAAAGTGTACAGTAGAAATGCCACCTTTGGTTACGTTTCCACCCATTTTTCTTCTAATTTCTTTATAACTGTAGCCTTGTTCACTTAATAAATACTATTTTACATCACTTTCTGGGTGACCAAGTCAACTTTTTGCACCATTACTTTAATTTCATTACGTTTTACAAGATCACTCAATGAAAGAACACAAAAAAACCCAACCAACTTGATAGCCATCACATAACACCCTGACAAATGTCCTCCGTTCAGTTTCAACACGTGACATCAATAACGGAATCCTACCGTGATCTGATTGGCTCTTTGCCAAAACAAGATGACACTTGATTGGCTCTCTAAACACTCACGCTCATTGGCTACAATCAGATGAAGGAAAGCTACCTGATATCAACCTAAGCAAGTTGTGCTTCCTTTTTCTGGTTATTTGGCTATAACATTTCATAGAATATAGTACAGATAATTGAACAAACTTGGTTGCATTACATCCTTGGTTAAATTATCTTTCCATTGATATATAATTTTAAGGTACTACTCCCCAAAAAAAGTGGTGTTATTAGCCATCAAACCTCAAAAATACACTTTCCCCAAAAGGTTTCCACAGTTTGGGCCACTGCTGTACTACAACTGTTGCAGCATCCCCATTGCCACTTTTTCCAGAGCCGTTGTAACTTCAAACAGTCATTAAACGAACGGTTGTAAGTCAAGGATTATCTGTATCTTGACACGAATGTGCAAATCAGGGTGTAACATTGATAGCAAAAACATCTGGAAAGCCCCCAGTTTACCCTGTCTGCCCCATGAGAATTTGGGGGGGGGGGCAGGAAGGGGCCACGAGAAAAAAAGATGAAAACAGAACTATGTGTTGCCTCATTGGGCTTCTTCAGCTCTTCCTTTTCTCCGTCCCCTTACAGGAAGTGAAAAACTCCACCGTTACTTTTCTGCTCCTCAAGATTCCTACCCTGAAGATAAAAGTGAAGTACAAGAAGGACGTTTTTGAAGCCAATCTGAAGTCGGAGTGCGATCTTTGGCACTTGATGGTGAAAGAGATGTGCGCCGGGAAGAAAATGGCAGACGACCACAAGGTTCGGGGATGCTAACGTTGGTTAACAACAGGGCCCTCCTCCAATCGTTCATTTTCTCAGATTCATATTTATTTCCAGATGGCAAGATTAATAAATGAGCAAGCAAAGCAACTTCCATCCAAGCTTCCGTTTTAATGAAGCTCAATGTCTTCCCTGCTGTGGTTCAAACAATTAATAATAATAATAGTAATAATAATAATAGTAATAATAATAAAGTTGGAAGGGACCTTGGAGGTCATCTAGTCCAACTCCCTGCTCAGGCAGGAAACCCTATACCATTTCGGACAAATGGCTGTCCAGTCTCTTCTTAAAAACTTCCAGTGTTGGAGCATTCGCCGCTTCTAGAGGCAGGTTGTTCCCCTGGTAATTGTTCTAACTGTCAGGAAGTTTCTCCTTAGTTCTAGGTTGCTTCTCTCCTTGATTAATTTCCATCCATCGCTTCTTGTCCTGCCTTCAAGCGCTTTGGAGAATAGCTTGACTCCCTCTTCTTTGGGGCAGCCCCTGAGATATTGGAAGACTGCTATCATGTCCCCCCTCATCCTTCTCTTCGTTAAACTAGACCAGGGGTAGGCAACCTTGGCTCTTTTATGACTCGTGGACTTCAACTCCCAGAATTCCTGAGCCAGCCATGCTGAGGGGAAAGGGAGAGGTTTCCAAGCTGAGCCATGCTGGCTCAGGAATTCTGGGAGTTGAAGTCCACGAGTCATAAAAGAGCCAAGGTTGCCTACCCCTGAACTAGACATACCCAATTCCAGCAGCTGTTCCTTATATGCTTTAGCCTCCAGTCCCCTGATAATCTTTGTTGCTCTTCTCTGCACTCTTTCTAGAGTCTCAGCATCTTTTTTACATCGCGGTGACCAAAACTGGATGCAGTATTCCAAGTGTGGCCTTACCAAGGCATTGTAAAGTGTTATTAACACTTCACGTGACCTTGATTCTATCCCTCTGTTAATGCAGCCTAGCACTGTGCCTTTTCCAGATGGCAAGATTAATAATTGAGCAAGCAAAGCAACTTTCATCCAGGTTTCCATTTTTAATGAAGCTCAACGTCTTCCCTGCTGTGGTTCAAACAATTTGTTCAGTTCTGCCAAGTTTTTCTTACTTGCGGCATTCGTGTTCCTTGGTCTACTTTTATTGTGACCCACCCCAAGTAACATCAGAGCCATAGCTGGACAAAACTGGCTTTGTAGATGAATAATACTCCAAAGATGTAACCAAAAAAAAAAAAAAAAAGGAAGGATAGCAAAGCAGAGTAGATAGTTTCTAGCTGTTCAATTTTCTAGCCAAATAATTTTCTTCAAAGATGCCAATCATTTTATCTGCCTGGATTTGTTCCAAGCATCTCCTTCGGCTTTATTCGCCAATTATATTGATTAGTCTTTAAGGATCCAAAGAATTAAAGAATAACAAAATAAAAGAGTTGGAAGGGGCCTTGGAGGTCTTCTAGTCCAACCCCCTGGATTTTAATTGAATCTATCTCTTCTGGGACCCCAGACATGGGCTTCCTCTGGCCAAGAACGAAGAGTTCTAGTTTAAGGAATAAAATCTGCAATTCTGCATTCGTCTTTGGATTCCTGACACACAGGATATTCTATCAAAGAGGCCCACACGTGACCCCCCCCCCAGTAGACATTGGGGAAAATGTAAAAGGTGGGATCTCGTATGTGTAGTATGTGCAAGCGGCAGTCGGGGTTTTCGTTCATCTGGTGCTTCCTCTCAACGTCCCACCCCTCTCTCTTTCAGGATCCACAGTATCTTCAACAAGCCCTCACCAACGTTCTTCTGATGGATGCGGTGGTAGGCTCCCTGCAGTCGTCCAAAGTAATCTACGCAGCTTCAAAGCTCTCTTACTTTGACAGGATGAAGAACGAAGGTGAGCTGATGGATCATTGAGATAATACTTTTTGGGTAGGGTGAAGTGTTCTCGACACTCTTGTGTGGAATGGTAGCCCAAGAGCAGAGTTGCAAGTGACCTCCTGGTTATGAAGGATACCAAGAACTGCTGTAGACCATTCCTATGGCTGAAGAGCTTGCTTTTCCTCACTGATCTACCGTGTTTCCCTGAAAGTAAGGCCTACACCAGGGGTAGGCAACCTTGGCTATTTTATGACTCGTGGATTTCAACTCCCAGAATTCCTCAGCCAGCCACGCTGAGGGGAAAGGGAGAGGTTTCCAAGCTGAGCCATGCTGGCTCAGGAATTCTGGGAGTTGAAGTCCACGAGTCATAAAATGGCCAAGCTTGCCTACCCCTGACCTAGAGCAAGGGTAGGGAACCATGGGCCTTTTATGACTTGTGGACTTCAATTCCCAGAATTCCTCAGCCAGCATGGCTGCCCCATTGACTTTGCTTGTCAGAAGGTCTCAAAGGGGGGGAGAACACATGGGTGGCTCAGGAATTCTGGGAGTTGAAGTCGACAAGTCATAAAAGGGCCATGGTTCCCCATCCCTGACCTAGAGCAAGGGTTGGGTGACTATTGTCCCTTTATGACCTGTAGACTTCAGCTCCCAGAATCCCTGAGGCAGCCATGCTGAGGGGAAAGGGAGAGGTTTCCAAGCTGAGCCATGCTGGCTCAGGAATTCTGGGAGTTGAAGTCCATGAGTCATAAAAGAGCCAAGGTTGCCTACCCATGGCCTACACCAACAATAAGCCCTAGCTTAATTTTTGGGAGTGGACCTAATATAAAACCTACCCAAAAATAAGGCCTCTTCTGCAGCCTGGCCTGCATTTCTCAGTCAGAGTCCTTTCCAGAAGGCCTCTGCAGCCAAGAACCGAGCTATGGGTTGAATCTGTGGCTCGGTTCTGCAAGAGATCTGCAGCTGAGCCCCAAGCTATGGATTGAATCCATAGCTCGGTACTCGGCTTCTTAGGCCTTCTGGAAAGGCCTGACTGCAAAATCCAGGCCCGAATGCAGCTGCAGAACTTCGGCCCCAGAAGAAGCGGACCGGCTGGGTGGGGTTGTCGGTGCCGGAGGTGAGGTAAGGCCTACCCCGAAAATAAGACCTGGTGCCTCTTTTGGAGGCTAAAAAAAAAAAAGACCCGGTCTTATTTTTGGGGAAACACGGTATCCTATCTATCAGTTTTTCCTTTTGGCCCTATAAGCATTTCTAAAAATACATGTCTCCTCTTTGTCCAGTGCCCATGATGGTCCCCAAAACAACGACTGAAACACTAAAGCACAAGATCAACCCATCGGCTGGCGAAACATTCCCACAAGCAGTGGAAGTCTTGCTCTATACACCAGGTATGGAACTGAAGGTGGTCTCACCTCATGACGTTACCTGTCCCACTCCCTACGTTCATTAAAATGGGAATATACAGTATCTCAACAAGGGTGCTTGGTATTGATCTAGAGACAAATGCATGCCTAAACCCATCCAGTTTCATGGCTCAGAAAGAGATTGGACCATCGCTCTTCCCGGAAGGCCAAGCTTGAGTGTTGTGGGATCTGTTCAGAATCCAAGATCTCTCTTTATAAACATGAGAAGATATTCAGCCAATGACATCACAATGAAGGAGTAGAGAAGAAGCTCTCCAAAGCACCTGAGGGCAGGACAAGAAATGACAGGTGGAAGATCATTAAACAGAGAAGCAACCTAGAACTTAGGAGAAATTTCCTAGGTGAGAGCAATCAACCAATGGAATAGCTTGCCTTCAGAAATTGCGGGTGCTCCGTCTGTCATGGTTCTGACAGATGAAACTCTTCCAAAGAACTTCGAGGCATTGTTTACCTTTTTGTTGTTAATTGCGAAGTCGTGTCCGACCCATCGCGACCCCATGGACAACGTTCCTCCAGGCCTTCCTGTCCGCTACCATCTTCTGGAGTCCATTTAAGCTCACGCCTACTGCTTCAGTGACTCCATCCAGCCACCTCATTCTATGTCGTCCCTTTCTTCTATTGCCCTCAATCTTTCCCAGCATTACGCCCTTCTCCAGTGAGTCCTTCCTTCTCATTAGGTGGCCAAAGTATTTGAGTTTCAACTTCAGGATCTGGCCTTCTAAAGAGCAGTCGGGGTTGATCTTCTCTAGGACTGACCGGTTTGATCGCCAGCACCATAGTTCAAAGGCCTCCATTCTTTGTCGCTCAGCCTTTCTTATGGTCCAACTTTCACAGCCATACATTGCAACTGGAAAAACCATGGCCTTGACTATATGCACTTTTGTTGGCAGGGTAATGTCTCTGCTTTTTAGTATGCTGTCTAGATTTGCCATAACTTTCCTTAGAATCTTTTATTCGAGAAACAAAGTATCGGCACTACATAGTTAAAGCCAAAAACTGAATTCCCCTTCCCTGTGCACAAAGTAGCAAAGCACAATTCCCTCCTCCAATTAATAGTCATAAATCACATTCCCCAATTAGCTTGAAGCGCGGGCTTTCTCCCCAGCTTTCCAGCCCGCCAAATCTTTATCAACTCTGGGCCCAATGACCTTGGGTTCCCATGGCTGAGTTGTTATTGTTATGACTATGACTCTCATCCACATTCCCCCTCCCAGCATCAACTAACTCTAAAAGCGAAAGTGAAACATGGCTGCATTTCCATCTGTTGTCAAAGCAAGAACATCCGATGTTAGCAGTGTTGACCCCATCACTGGAGGTTTTCAAGAAGAGACTGGACAGCCACTTGTCTGGACTGCTGTAGGATCTCCTACTTGAGCAGAGGGTTGGACAAGAAGACCTCAAAGGTCCCTTTCATCCCTATTCAGTAGCATTTCTTGTTGCCACATGACACGTGTTGCTACAGTCCCTCTCGGTTGCCCGTCCTGCAGACTGGACCAAGGAGGTTGACAGCAGAACTTCCTTGGCTACTGCAAATCTTGAGGATATCGTCCCCCCCCTTAGATTCCATGCATATAACATAAACATTCTCCCATCTTTAGGCCAGCTTGAATCCACAGAAAAACACGGAGATGCTCATCCAAAACTGTGGTGTGCTTTGAACGGAGGGAAGGTGGTGGTCTTTGATGCATCCTCGTGGTCTCTGCAGCATTCTTTCAAAGTGGGGAGCTCTAAGCTGGTAGGTGACATTGACGATGGAACCATTCACGGAAGTTTTCAAATCATTCTTAGACATCTTTCCAAGTCTGTGGAGAGGTTCTCGGCCATCCGGCTCACGGTTGTCCCACAGGCGTTTTTCCAAAAGGCAACCGGACTTCCTTTATTTTTCCTTGAAGAGGTTTCGCTTCCCATCAAAGAAGCTTCTTCAAGTTCTGAAGAACGGAACTTCATCACGAACTTGAAGAAGCTTCTTGGATGAGAAGCAAAACGTCTTCAAGAAAAAAACAAAAGTCCAGTTGCCTTTTGAAAAAAACACCTTTGGGACTTAGGCAGGTTTCAAACTTCTCAAGTCTCCCGTCCTGTTTTAATGTGTTTTCATTTGTTTTTGCTAGACAAGGCTTTGGGCCCTTCCCATTGGCCTGTTTATTCGTAGTACTGTGTCTCTCAACCTCAGCAACTTTTAAGATATGTGGACTTCAACTCTCAAAATGTCCCAATTGGCTGGGCAATTCTGAGAGTTGAAATCCACACATCGTAGAGTTTCTGAGGTTGGGAAACATACTAGACCAGGGGTCAGCAACCTTAAACACTCAAAGAGCCACTTGGACCTGTTTCCCAGAGAAAACACTGGGAGCTGTAAAACTTGTGTGTGTGTGTGTGTGTGTGCGCGCGCGTGCGTACAGGAGGCAGGGAGCTTGATTGAAGAGTTTAATTAAAAAGAAATAGAGGCTGCTGTGCATTTCTCTCTCTCTCTCTCCCTTTCCTTCCCTCCCACCCTCCCTCTCTTTCTCTCTCCCCCCTCTCCCTCTCTCCGATCTTCTTCTCACCTGGCCAGCTGGCTTCATGCTGTCCTTGGACAAGCTGACACACATTCTTATTGGGCTGGCTCTCTCCTGCCCTTGGTCTGCCAGTCGTGTGTGTGTGTGTGTGTGTGTGTGTGTGTGTGTGTGAGAGAGAGAGAGAGAGAGACAGAGACAGAGACAGAGACAGAGACAGAGAGCTGCTGCTTCCTGCTGCTTCCCACTTCCTGCTGAGACTCAGCAAAGGCAGGAGCCCCGCCCAATAAGCTTGTCAGCTTGTCAGAGGACAGCGTGAGACCACTCTCTTCTTTGCACAGAGAGAGAGAGAGAGAGAGAGAGAGAGAGAGAGAGAGAGAGAGAGAGAGAGAAGGGAAGCGCAAGTGCCTCTCTCTGTCTCAGTCTCTCTCTCTGCAAATGGCAGGGAGGCTGGGAGCCACAGGACAAGGCTCAAAGAGCCACATGTGGCTCTGGAGCCGCGGGTTGCCGACCCGTGTACTGGTATTACAACTCCTTAAGTTGAAAGTAGGTTGCTGATTGCTAGCAAAACTCAGGGGTAGGCAGGGAATTTGCTGGTGAATGTGCTTTTCCTTAAAGTGGTCTTCCTTGTTTCATGACCCAGGAGAGGAAGGACCACGTCATTAAACAAGCAAGACCACATGACCCAGGACCACGTGTCTTTCTCCAGCCTCTCCTTCTGAAGAAAGCCATGTTTGTTTGGGGGAATCTCCCTCTCTAAAATACTGCGTATTAAAGCAGTTAACACGTGCTGCTCATAATGAGTAGTGGTTTCTGCTCTGGAGAGCACTTCGCTTGTTATCTTAAAAAGATTAGCTGCTGAAGAATTGATTGGTTTCTGTAAGCTGTAAATGACAGTGTACAAGGTACAGAGGTTGTGTTTGTGCAGTACCTGCAATTTAGAGCTATTGATCCCAATTAGTCACTGACTCCTACTTTATAACCTTGCTCCTATTATACCAAGCTTTGACCTAGTTTAATTAATATATTTTACTAACTGTTATGTAGTCATTAATGTTGTATCCCACCTGCCTCTGGGAACTGTGTCTGAGTTGGTTGGCCATATAATTAACTAATGTAATTAAAAACTAATATACTGAAATAATATTCCCCATATACAAGTAGATTTTTAGTAAATAAAAGATGGAAAAAGTAACATACAGTAGATTCTTGAGAAGTTTTGCATTACATGGCTGATCTTTCCTTCCTTCCTTCCTTCCTTCCTTCCTTCCTTCCTTCCTTCCTTCCTTCCTTCCTTCCTTCCTTCCT